AAATTATATTCTTCCATCTATCAACCTGTATCTTTCCAGTAGCAAAACAGTCTCATATCTTCTGCCATTTGTGGTGTCAGTCCTCTAATAATCTCTTAATCAACTTTGAATGGATTCCTCTTAGCAACTCCTTGCTTATAAAATCTCTCATATAATTTCAATGCCCTTCTTTTGTTTCCTTAATCAGCTTATCTTTCATTGTCAGTAGTATTATCAATGATATTGCTAATAAAATTTCTCTCTTTAAATCCATAAATTCTTTGTTTTTTCTTCTTCTGTATCTTGCCATCTGGGGTAGATTCCCCCCCCCCCATTTAGTTCCTCTTTCAGTATTCCACTCTTTCCATTTTCAGAAACAAACCAATTACCATGAATATCAGCAAATTTAATTTCTTTATATTCATTTTCCTCTTTGATTGTTAGGGTTTTAACCAACACTTTTTCCACTTGATAAACATCCTCAATTTCTTCATCATATTTTGCTGTTAGATACTCTAAGTCTTCCAGTTTCTTCTCTATCCTCTCATATCTATTTGATAATTTCTGTATTTCTGAGAATATCTTTTGCAGACTTAAAGTTTTTTTCTGCTGTTGAAATTGTGCCATTATATCCAGATAACAAACACTGCTGCTCTAGCTTGGAAGATCAATAAGATTCACAATAACATTTTATTTTCACTTTCCTCTGGTTAAAGATATACTTCAGAGGGACATCTGAATGCTTTTCTTCTTAGTATTAGTATTAGTATTTAATAAATTTATAGGCCGCCCAATCCCAAAGGACTTTTATCACTCTCTATAAACAAGCAACAAGACCTTGGAGTGCCAAGCCAGGATAATCAGTGAGAAAAACAAGAGTGTTTCATTTCCAATACACAAACCTTCCAGCCTCCGAGTAGCAGTGTTATTGTTGCAATTTTCTGTTTCTTTTTGTATCTTTTTTGTATTTCAAGTTTAAAAAAAAAGTCCGATTCTTGAATGAGGTAGAAGAACACCCCCAGTAATGAAAGAGGAGAATTTTAGTCCATAGGTTATAAAGAATAATAAAAGAAAAAAAAGAAGAAAACTTAATCCATTCGTTTTAAAAGGCTTGCATAAATTCCATCCATGAAGATAGCATTTAAAAAGTAAGATAACCCACTGCCCAAAACCATTCCAAATTTAATTCTGCCGCTTATTTCTTCTGTTCTCCAATTTAAATTTCTCTTTCCGTATCCTTCCATTTTGGAGCCGCCCCGACTTCATCAGCCTTAGCTGGATTTTTTGTCGCCGGCTTGAAGAACTTCTCTTGCATCGATCAGGGACTTTGCGATGTCCCTGAGATCAGCAAGACGTATTCTTCCTGTTCACCGTCTTTGCGGGACGGTTTAGGTCCGATTGGACCACCCAGTGGCAAAACTATCAGCTGCGGTCTCAGAACATTGAGACCGCACATCCATCAATATGGACATTTTCAATGTCGTTGTCAATGGAGCTGGCATGGATAGTCTGAATTCTAGGCAGAAGAGTCACTTGGTAAGAAACTCTCTATTTTAACATAACCAGCTGGACATGGGAAATACTCAATACTGCCATCTGCCATCATCATGTACATCCACAGGATAATAGATGCAGAGTATAGTTCCATAACACAGTAGGAACTATAGTTAACCAATAGCCTCTTGTAAGTGATCAGGAGTTGCATCAATCCAGCCCAGCAGCCAAGAAGGCTGCATAATACAGAAGATCTCCCCTCTGCTTCTTCTAGAAATGGTGGATTCGGCTGCCACAGAGCTTTATTAAACTTACATAGTGTTTGACCTTTATTTGTCTTGCATTGTAGGCATTTCAATGACTTATATTTAAGCAGAAGAACCAGAAACTGGAACATGATGAAAAGAAAAACCTCAGCTATATACTCACTTTTATAGTTCCTGAGTTGACCAAAGCCCAAATTATGTATTTATTATTTTATTAATTTGTTCATTTTTTATGGCCACCCATTTCAGTCAATGACTCCAGACAGCTTACAATTCAAAAACTATACTGCAGTTAAAATATTAAAAACATTTTAAAACAATAAAAATAGTAAGACCAATAAAAACAGTAAGCATATCCAAATTAAATATGCATAGGATACCTGGCCAGTTAGCAATATAGCCAGGAAATAGGGCGCTTAACACATGCAGTGGT